CAATACAGACGCGCACCACCTCGGTTAAGATGGTAGGATTCGTTATAATCCAGGATACGGTCAATCAACACAGCAGTCAATACAAATTCTCATAGGCGACTACTTACCGCTCCAGGAACACAATGATTAACATGAACCGGGCAAAATACTAACAAGTTAGGGGCCTAACATGGATATGAAATAGGTGGATTACCCATGATATCAATCACTGATCACCATCTAACTGGACTTGAGGGAGGTAGAGTTTTTGCGAGCGATCAGTCCGTCTTTATCACCTTTCCCGGGTGTGTGGGAGCGCAGGCGGTTTGATTGTTTCTTCGACGCGACGTTTCCCTCCTGGCGTGTACCTAGCCGACCACTTTGTGGTCTACATGACAAAACGACTCTGTTTAAAATTATCAATGGTTCCTATGTTTTCTTCTTCTTATCTGCCCTCTTCTATCTTCGTATCATTTAGCTCCCTTCTCCCTTTTGTCTATTCTTTCTAGTCGTCTTGGTTTTGATTTGGTTGTCATACTCTCAGTCATCTATCTATCCGAAGTAAGCCAGCTATATCTATTGGTCCCAGCGTGGTCCAATTTGTAAAATAAAACTTGATTTGGAGCTTATTTGGTGACCAAACCCAAAACTCACAGCAAAGATGCACGATGAAGTTTTGATGGGTCGAGCTCGAAGCTCCAAACTAACATGAGTATATTCAGTTTGGAAAGGCATGCAAGTATTGACTCTATACGTGATAAAATGATAAGTGCAAGTGCACGAACCTACACGGCATTTTTCGTGCATGCAGAATAGTACTTTTTTACACTTTTGTGTAATGCACAGAACAACCCTAATCATAATAATAACTCTGAGTAAGCCCGGTGATGTACATATTTTATTATTGCATGGAGCTTACACGCGGACGTGCGACAATCTCCAAGAAAAGAAAGGCCCGATTTGTCGCATGTTTACTATGATTTAGTGGCCCAAGTGCCCTTTAATATATTGAGCTTATATAGTATATTTATTTCAAGTATTACGTTGCGACGCGGTGCACAGCTGAGGATAAAATCTACCCTTCCATTTGGTTATGAGCCCAACTGCCCAGCCAACTGCGACTAGTGATAACACGCGAAGCAATGTCGACGAACAAGGCGAAAACATGAACGCACCAGTTGCTGACGTCTATGTTGATGTGCGTGAAGGCACACGACCTAACGTGCTAGGTTTCCCTGATGAGCTTCGCTTTGATGAATCCGATCGTGGGAGTGTGAAGCTACACAGCCAACTCCAGCTGATACAGCAGCTGCAAAGTGAACTTGCGGCTATGTGGACGGAACTGAACGCTAGAATACTGTCAATGTCGGACACTAGCATGGCAATAGGCACTCCAACTCCCAAGAAACCTAAGATTAAGGAAGTACGCTGCCCGATCTTTAAGGGAAACGAGGTTTACCCTGGTCTCGGTGTGGGA